AAGATATCAATAAAACATATTAAATTGTTGTTTAAGGATTGAAGGATTGGTAAATTTTATGCCAAACACGAGAGTCAGAAATACAGAGATAGAGAGACAGAAGGACAGGGCCAGAGAAGGGAACCTCCCGGCGTGCGTCGGGCTGGGGTGGTTTGAGGACGAGCACGGGGCCTGCGGTAACTGGTTCAGTGACTCAGGTTTGGAGCCTTCTCGCCCTTGGGTAGAAATGGTACCGTTTCCTCTATATGAGCCCACGTTACCCAAGGACCTGTAGATGGAAATTATATCAAGACTAAATGAGTTTCCTGTTCCTCATGGAACAGGCTGACGTATCTCACAGGGAAGGGATGGTGGATCAGCTAAAGAACATATATGGGTACCAGAGGCCTGGTGTATGGGCTTCGTGCACTGGTGAGGGGGCATGACCTGCGGGGATCGGACCGCTCACCCCAGTCAGCCCAGCAGCCGTGGACCCGTCCTCTGAGCGGCTGCCCCCCGGTCCGGCATCTTCCGTGGAGCCGGAGCATGCGCCTCTCCAGGGGACCCAGCCGGGGCTGGGCCCGGGGACAATTGCACTGAGAGGGAGCGGAGTAGGCCTCAGTCCCGTGGTGGCCACGAACTCACCTCTCAGCCTTGGGGGTCAGCTCTGCGAGCCCGGCAGTGGTGCTGTGCGGCCTGCGGGCGCTCAGAGGAGGTGGCAGGGAGTGAGGAGGAGGAGACTGGGGATAGGAAGTGATGATCACAGCCTGGGTTCCTGCCTGTTGGCCCAGGGTTCGCCGTGGGAGCTACCGCACATCCCTGTCAGCTGAGCGGCACTCCCCCTGTGGTAGTGCACTGACCACTAGGGGACAGCTCCTGCTTTGAGTGTCTGCCCCCTGATGGTCAGTGCGCATCATAGTGACTGGTCTACCAGTTGTTCCACTGTGTGGGCCCTGGGCTTTTATTATATAGGATACGCATAACCCAAGGGCAGACAGTAGTGAGGTGCAGGCTGGGGGTGGAAGCAGGGTAGATGGGGCCAGTGGGAGGAAAAAAGGGGACATCTGTAATACTTTCAATAATCAGGATAAATTAAAAAATAAAAAGTATGCATCACCCTAAGGAAAAAATGCAAACAAGAAAAAATAACCAACCAACCAATAAAAATGCAAAAGAATGAGTTTTCTGCTTCCAGAAGTGGGAGGGAATCATGGCGCCGAGAAGGGCTCTGAGTGTGTGTGCATGTGCGTCTGTATGTGTGTGTGTGTGTGCGTGTGTGCATGTGCACCTGTGTGTGCATTTTAACTTTTATAAATGATAAAGGGGAAATTTAAAGTAATAAAAGTTGTTTCTAAAAGTGGACTAGGGTCGCCAGGAAGGTGGTAGTTCTCCTCACCCAGAGGCTCCCATACCCACATTTTTTAATCTTTATTGTTGGAAGTATTACATATGTCCCCTTTCCCCCCACTGAGCTCTTCCAGCCTGCCCCCCCTAACCTTCCCCTCCCCGTTGTCTGTGTCCAGGGGCTGTGCATATATGCACACAAGTTCTTTGGTTGGTCTCTACCCACCCACCCTCCCCCATCTTCCCTCTGAGGTCTTGACAGTCTGTCAAAGTATGTCTCCAGATCTATTTTTTTTTTCCATCAGTTTATTTTATTCATTAGCACACACAGTCCTGACGGGCTGGAGATACAATATGTGTGGCTGGATAAAGAATTTAAAATAGCCAATTATTTCCTTCCAGCATCTCCCTCTCCCCTCCTCTCCCCTCCCCACCCTGACTTCATCACCTCTCCTCCATGGGGCACCTTGGCGGTGGGCGGTTCTTTACTCCAGCGGGTGCCGAGAGCAGGGCAGGGCCAGGAGGGGACCTCCCCTGGCTCCTGCCGCACCTGGCCCGAGGGCAGTGGCCGGGCCGCTTCAGGCGGAGAGATGGGGGTTGGTCCTGTGTTTCCTCCCATGCCTCGTTCCGAATGGGGGCGATCCTCTTGGATAGACTGGGCCGTCTGAGAGCCGGGATGTGCTCAGGTCGGAGGCTGACTCAGCGCTCCTCCCATGGGCCCTGCAGCCGCGGCAGCAGGAGAAGGGCTCGGGGGTGAGAACGAGGCAGCGGCTTGGACTACGGATGGCAGGACAGGAGGACAGGCTGGCTCAGCACAGACGGCAGGCGCCAAGGACTAGAGACCTCCTGCCCTCGACGTGTCCTAGGTGAGCCCCAGGATTTAGACATTCACGGAGATGAAAGGAATTTGGAATGGACAGTAGGGCAGGCCTCCTGGGGGTGTGTGCACACCGTCTCACAGGTCTCTATGCAGAATGGGCTGGCTCCAGTGTGGTCGGTCATCTTGCAATTCTTTAAAAAAAATTTTTTTTTAATTCAGTAAATCTTTATTGTTCAGCTTATTACAGTTGTTCCTTCCCCCCTCCACCCCCTGCCATAGCTCCCCTCCACCTAGTTCCCACCCCACCCTCTTCCCTTACCCACACCATTGTCCTCATCCATAGGTGTATAATTTTTGTCCAGTCTCTTCCCATACCCCCCACATCCCTTTTCCCCATCTTGCAATTCTTAAGTTTTGACCATGGGGCTTGCATTTTTCATCATGCACAGGAACTTGCAAATTACGTAGTCACTCCTGCTTGGCTTCTTCTAACTCCCCTCATTGCCACCAGAAAGAGGGGTCCACAGAGAAAAGCAGTGGATTTGAGAAAGCTATGTTTCTGCACAGCAGGGCTTGTGGTGGGGTCCCGTTCCATCCCAGCCAAGGCCAGGCGGGAAAGGTGAGGCGTGTTCCGATCACAGGAACGCGGTGAGTAGGCTGGGGACAGGAAGGCTGGAGCCCATGTCCGCAGGCCTGGGCCTGCGCCCTCCGGCACGCCCTCCGGGGGGGGAGGGGGGGAGCAGAGTTCAGTCACATTGGGAATCACGTACAATTCCTATTTATGGGGGCCTGGGATATACAGCCACACTCAAAACCTCCATCTATAATATGCAAAGTAGCATCTTAACAAGAGAAGACAGCTCGGGCAGTACTTTAGATTGTGGTAAATCGGGCCGTAAATCCTAAATCTGCTGCGGCCCCCGGGAAGGCCAGGCTTCCCCTCACCTACTTCCGAGGGTTTCTGTGAGAACAAAATGAGATGCCACACACACAGGGCTTCCTTAGCACAGAGCAGGGGCCCCACGCCCATTCTATGCAGGCCCAAGAAGACTCCTTTCCTTCAGTGTGACTATCGACTATGTGCCACCCTAAGAGCTCCGGGTACCAGACCTAGGATATTCTGGTGTTCAAGAGGCGCCTAAACATACATACATGTTGGCGAGGAAATAAGCCAGTGCCATCCCAGGCCTCTCGGCCCCCAGCAGTGCGTGGGTGCAGGGCTTTGGGGCGGCTCCTACTCTGAGCGCTAACCAGCTTGTCATTGCATTCTTAAACACAAGCAGAAGTCCTATGAAATTACAGCATTGTTCCAGCACACAGGCTGGCTGAACATACCACGTTCATGGCTGTGTTTGACCTGCTCAATAGCAACGGCCCTGGCCGGTGTGGCTCTGTGGGTTGAAGCATCGCCCCAGGCAAAGATGGCAGGTCCCATCCCTCATGAGGGCGCATGCAGGAGGCAGCCCATCGCTGTTTCTCTCTCTCCTCCTCTCTAAAATCAGGTTTTAAAGATTACAGTTGGATTTGGTTTAGTAGAAAAAATACTTATTTCTGCTCTCCCTTGACTGGCCTGTGCGTTCTCCCTTTCCCAGCATTTGAACAAGGCCCTCCTGGCCCCACCATACATACTGCACGGGGATACTGTTTTGCCGGATGAAACATATCTTTTAACGTGACACCCCCAACTTTTCTGTGTTTGGAAAGAAAAGGGTCAGGTTTAATGTTTAGTTTTCCAAAGTGGACAAGTAACCACCGGGGACGGAACCGAGATCAGAAAGTTCACTCTAACAGGGACCCGGGCTTGGCCTCCAACGGAAAACACGGTCTCGGAGGCACGAGGGTGGCGTGCGGAATGTTTTGCCTTTTGCATATTTGATTTCAGCACAGAAGCTGCCATCTAGCCGTACCCTAAGGGCTGGCTGTCATCGCTGCCGGGAGGGGAGGCGTGGGGACCGGCCTGACAGTCCAGTAGCTTTCGCTCCATTCCAGCGGGGCCTGGAAATAGCCTGAATGATGGTGAGAGAGCATTAGCCGCACTCCCGAGCCCGACACCTTCTTTTTTCACGTTCTAGGTGCATGTGCCCCCATAAGCCGGAATCGGTATCTTTGGGGGCTTCTGGTGTGAGTGACATCGGTGAGGGGGAGCAAGGGGGAGCAGCCTGGGGAAGAAAGCCATTCCCAGAGAT